AACTAGTTAATAAATTCAGCAAATTAACAGGATACAAAATCAACACCCATAAATAAAAGGCATTTCTGTATATCAGTGACAAATCCTCTGAAAGGGAAATGAGGAAAAACACCCCATTTACAGTAACATCAAAAAAATAAATAAAATAAAATACTTGAGAATCAACTTAATGAAAAAGCAGTAGAAAAAAGGAAATAATGGGATTCCCTTAAGGGAAATTTACAATGATAACCTCTAAACGTTCTCATATTTTTTCYTGGCATCTGGAAATTCTGTTCAAAGTACCAGCTATTATGTGAATACCACTTGAACTGCCTCTTAATTGCAGATAAAGACTCTGAGGGAAAATTCTCCAGACTGGAGAAATGTTTATTTTGTAGTAAACAGAAGAAAAGGAAATGCATTTTCAATACTTTTGCTATGAGCCTCAGAATACCATAGATGTTGTCTTAGTTTAGGCCCTTCCAGAAGCAAAAGGAGACAAGGATTAGGTGTGTTTGGAGGTAATTTCAATAAAAATTAGCAAAGGAGGGGAAGAGTGGAACAGGGAAAGGAAAGTGGTCATGAAAGGGTGAGTTATCACACCAGTCACCACTGTGGGAAACTTGGCCTTATGAGAATGTACATTTCAGAAAAATCTTACCAGAGAGCTGGGGGATCTGAATGTATTCATTCATTGACTGAGAGTTGCTTCCAGGGTATTGTGATTTCTCAAGCACTTCTGCTCTGCTGTTCAAGTTTAAGTGCTAGAGGTAGCCCTCTGGCATTTGGAAGTCAGGCCTGAGRGACTTACAGTCCCACAGTAGAAAGGGAAGTGAGTGTCCAAAATTTATTTGGCCCAAGGTATCTAAGTCACGTGAATTATAATGGTATGTGAGAAACAAACTCCTTCCTTAAACAACTGCATACTACATCTTCCTTATATTAAACTTTTAATCAACTTCCACTAGAATTTTATCTTTACTAAACATTACAGCATACATCAGGCAGATTTTTTTTGACAGCAATGTTTATACTCAAAGGCCAGATATTCTACTACATTTTGGTGATTGGGGGATTTATCCACAGTAACATGCCATTCATTGCAAAATAAAGCACATCTTCACTATGTATCTCAGAACATTTATGGATGTTAAATAAAAAAAAAMCAAATATTTGGTAATGAATGCTTAATTGGGGGATTTTGACTTTGATAGAAGCATTGACTTTCTCCAAAGTTCCATCCCTGTACCTCAGAGAATTTACCCTATGAAGAAACTGCTGTGATTCAGATCTTGAGAGCAGCTTCCAACGCTTGGGCTTTTTCAGTGATATTCTTCTGAAAAGGCATCATGAAATCCTCAAAGTCCACCTCATAAGTAAACCTCTCCCGCCGCAGCTCCCTTTTCCTGATCAGCTCAGCTGTTGTGGCTTCAGGACTCCAAATCTGAAATAAACCCCCAGACCCAAAGCAGCTATTGAGCATGATGGCTAGCGAATATGCTCATATCCAGACAATATTCATTACACAGTTTTAATTAAGAATATGCCAGGAAAGAGCTCCACCACTAAATTATATCCCTGACCTAAGCAGCTTTTTAAAATTTGTTTTAATTAGTTACACGTGACAGGAGAATGCATTTTGAGACATCATACATAAATGGAGTGCAATTTCTCATTCTTCTGGTTTTACATGATGTAGAGTGACACTGGTTATATAATCATATATGTACATAGGGTAATAATGTCCAATTCATTCCACTCTCTTTCTCACCCCTATGCCCCTCCCCTTCATTCCCATTTGTCTAATCCAAAGTACCTCTATTCTTCCCTAGCCTRCCCCCTTTGTGAATTAGTATCCACACATCAGAGAAAACATTTGGCCTTTGATTCTTTGGGATTGGCTTATTTTGCTTAACATTATATTCTCTAGCTCCATTCTTCTTTAAAGATGAGTAATATTCTATTGTGTATATATACCACATTTTCTTTATCCATTCATCTGTTGAAAGATACCCCCAGGTAGGTTCCATAGTTTAGTTATAGTGAACTGAGATGCTATAAACAYTGATGTGTCTCTATCACTGTAGTATGCTGCTGTTAAGTCCTTTGGGTATAAACTGAAGAGTGGGATAACCAGGTCAAATAGTGGTTCCATTCTAGGAAGATTTTTGATAAGTTGAAATTATCAAATTAACTTCTAAATGTATTTTTAACATTGTATCCACTCTTATATAAATTGGTTAGATGAAACTCACTACTTCTGGAGATGACTATATGGGACCTGAGCTCAGAAAGGTTCTTGAATTAATTCATCTTCAGTTATTCTTAGTTATCCTCAGGCCATCGGTTGTTCATTTTTATCGTGTCAAAACAGGAAAGCAAAAGGAACTGGAAGATCATCTGGGTTTACTACCTTTATGTCTGACGTGGAAGTCAAAACTATTTCATACAGGAGGCATTGCTTATTCAGTAGGGTTTGATGTGCGTTGGGAAGACAAATTCTCCTCCAAAATTCCACGTATAGATTTATCCACAACTGTAGATGTTTTAAGAGACTATTGAATATATCTAGTCTTAATTAGTAAGAAACTCCCAGGTGAGATGCTGGTAGTGAATATAAAGAAAGGCTGGGTCTGAGAAGTACCAAGGTGAAGTATCAACAGAACTTTGTCACTTAATGGTTGTAGGGAATATCATTGACCAAAGAAGACTTTCATCTTTTAAGGAAAATTTAAATGTTAATATAGAAATGCTAACAAGGGGAAACAGATATTAGAATCCAACAGATGGATATCTTGAATTGAAAGCATGAGGACCTGGCAAAWGAACACATTCAAATAGTAACCATGAAAGATAAATTTTGGACATTTGTTTGGATGGTCTGCATAGAAAACATTTGAAAAATAAAATCATGAGCGCCACAATTCCAAAGTACTTACCCTTTGTGGAACATATGTGATATCMACTTTCTTGGTATAGCCCCTGGTAATCAATGAATTGAGATAAACCACATTATCCCTTTGTATTTTCTTTTCCTCCGATATGACGGGCATACCATAAATGGATGAAAGTGGTTCCTGGAAACAAGATTTTAAAACTATAAATTTCAAATCTGGTATTTACTTTMTAATATTATTCTTTGTTTTTCTATATATTACTCTGAAACCAGGAAAAAAAACCTTTAAAATACTACTAAATAAGATACAATTTGAGATAAAATAGAAAATTTTTATGTTAGTTTGCTTTGTTTAACTCTACTCATTTTATAGTATCAGGGACAGATCAGAAAAGTCTTCAAAATATCTACCTTTAACCTGTGGCTACTATTCATTAAGGAAAAGGATGAAGTCCTTCTAAAATGAAAATGYCTGGATAGCAGAAGCCCCAACTGATTGAAATTTCTTCACCTCTTAATATTTTCCCATTCTCCACAGTGGTACTTTCTAATGTTTGCCTAGAATCTCTTTCCACTTCCTACAATCGTCATTTCCCCAACCCTATTCAATTTGATGGCATGAGTGAACGTGTTTCCTTCCTTCTTCCCTAGTCCTCTATCTTGCAAGAATTTTTCTTTTAAGATTTTAGAATTAAGAATTAAGAATTTTCTTTGAAGAATTGCAAGAATTCTTAAAAAAGATGCTTCCAACCAAGAATGTGCACATTCCCTGATAATGGCAAACTTTTGATGCCTCGGTAACCCATAGGCAGTAACCTCAACCTTGTGCTGGCAGTTTAGGGTTTCCTAAACCACTCCAGATTACCAGGTACAGTCAATCTGGCACATTCTAAACCTGCTAGAGTCACTTTGCTGAATATCCAAGTTACAAGTGGGCTCCATATCCCAGAGTTCAGTGGAATTCATTAAAGTTCCTGGGTGGGGACAGGGAAGAAGGTAGGCAATGAAAGAGTATGAGATCAAAAGGAAGGAAAACCATGCTTTACATAATWTTTCATAAGGTTTCAAAACCCTCCCCCTTCCCTGCTTGGGTCATGACATCAAATCTGTACAATGCAAGACCAAATGTATACATATCTCCTAGACCGTTGTTTTACAACATCCTAAGTATATTTGGTTTTGTGCAGATTCTGTTTTCAATGAACACTTTTTAGTGTCTTYAGTAACTGGAAACTTCTTGCTGGATATTTCTTTAAAAGTACTGTATAACAGTGCTGAAAGTTTGCACTGTGTATGACTTTGCCCAGTTGTATAATAGCACATAAATAATGCTGCTGCCCACCCAAACCCCCAAAAAGTTTTTAATGAGTTCCAGTTACTAATGGGTAATTGAGCTCTTTTCTTACCTCCTCTTTCTTAATCTCAGGGCCTTCAGTTTTCAATTTAGGAGGTGTCTTGCTTTTCATTTTTTGGTTTTCTGCTGTTTTAGGCAAGTTATCTATCTTTTCTTTAATCAAATCAATTATTCTATAATCGGCATATGCCTTTGCAACATCCATGGCACTATGCCCTGTTTAAAACAAACATAAATTTAGAGTTTTAATAAGTGGATTTAATGATAAACCATGTGTGGAGGGATGGAAACAAAAAAAACTCAGCATCACAGCTTTAAGCATGCACAGTCAGGGTGATTACTAAAGCTAACCATGTAAATTCATAAATCAGATTGGATATCCTTCAAAGGTGGACCTKCGATAAAACTCCATGGTTTTAAAGCACCATTTACTGACAAAAATTCATTTTTTTCTTTTAACTAAATTTCTTAAAAAGTGGATTGGAAATATTAGATTATATTTTGAATATCCAACTGATGGTTTTCTCCCCACACTGCAAACATTTCCTTTTGTGTAATAAATTTAACTTATCTTCCTTTTTCCATGTTGTAAGAAGGTAAATTCTAAAAGGCCTGGGGAAGCTGGCGCTTGCTCACAAGTGCTCAGGCAGGTGATTGGGTATTATGTTACCTGTCATATCATCAGGTACTCCTGGTGCAATTCTATCTGACTCAGGGACAGCCCAAAGAAGCCAGAGATATGAGCAAAGTCTCAGAGCAAAAAGAAGCAATGGGTTCCAATATAAGAAAATAACACTACCACATAAGGAGCTTAAGTATTTATTCAAGTGATGTTTCAATTGTTCCTGTGTGGTGTTTATGACATAGGGTAGGCCATCTGTTTACATCCTAGAGACAAGGAAGCCTCAATTTAGGAATGACTTTGTACAGCTATTAGAGGAATCCAAAGTCTCTAGAGTCTCTAGCATGCCAATCGTTGGGAATTGAACATAGCATTGATAACTCAGATTATGACCTGCAAACTAGTTCGGGTCCACAGATCAGTGGTTCCTGATCCACAATGTAATAACCACAAAAATTAAGTGTTAGGAAATTATAGAACTATTTAATAGATAGTCTTTTTCAAAAATTTTTTTTGTTCTTTAAATCTAATGATTGAAAAGCTTGGGCTTCCATTTCTACTAAATCATTTTTATTATATTTTATAAAAGTCCGGAACAGATTGCAAACATAAAGAACTGGCCCTTAAATATCAATGCTTTGAGAAGTACTTAAGAAGAACTTTCATAACATTTAACTAAGGCTCATGTTTGCACCAGTAACCCAGGGGAAAACATGGTTCTATCAGAACAGAATTGGAGGGGTGTGGAATCTAACAAATTCTCCTTCACTAACCCCCAACCATCAATAATACAAACACATACCTTTTCTATTTTCCAGCTGGAATTTAGCACCAATATCAAGTAGGTATTTTACAGTATCCAGTCTGCAGCTTTCAATGGCTCGACTTAAGGGAGTTGAGTTGTTGATTGAAAGTGCATCTAGGGTAGCTCCAGACTTAACAAGCAGCTCAGCAATGTCTTGCTGCCCTGCATGGCATGCAAAATGAAGTGGAGTCCACAGAAAATTATCTGTTGCATTAACGTTTGCCCTGTAAAATAAGATAGATGTGGGCTGGGCATGTGGCTCAAGCGGTAACGCGCACGCCTGGCATGTGCGGGGTGCTAGGTTCGATCTTCAGCACCACATAAAATAAAGATGTTGTGTCAGCTGAAAACTGAAAAATAAATATTAAAAATTCTCTCTCTCTCTCTCTCTCTCTCTCTCTCTCTCTCTCTCTCTCCTATCTCTCTTAAAAAAAAAGATAGATGCACAAATTAAAAATTGTGGTTGCTCTAAGTACTGGGACCTAAAAAGGCAAGTACAATTTTGGACAGTTTTATCAGTTGTTAAGTTGTTAATTTGCCAACCTTGTGCCATAATTTTTTGGTAATCTCTTTGTTCTGCATTACTTTGACAGTCTTAACACTGTGGACATACACATTTTGTTTAGCTTGAAAGGTACTTACAATGTTTACAAAGGTTAAAATCCAGGAAAATTACAAAACTGGATCCAGTGAAGATAAAAATTGATGTAAAAGATAAAATGTAATTTAAAGCATTACAAAATATTATTTAAAATTTTGGAGCTTGTTAGGATTTGACTATCCAAAAGTTCAAGTTCTCCTTAATGATTTCAMATTTCTTTTGAGAATACAAACTTGAGTCTTTGACATTAAAATGCTTCAATAGTAACAACATGGATACATTTTTCAAGTGTGCAGTTACTGCATCATTAAGTGCTCTCTGTAAGTTAACGCCTGTAATCGTTTACAAATTCTGAGATGAGTCCCATTAGAGCCCCATTACATAAATGAGAAAACTGAGGCACAGAAATATTMAGAAACTTAAGGCAGGTTATTCAACTATGGTAGACGCAGGAATTCAACCAAAACAACTGTTTTAGTATTAAAAGTTAAATAAAAACATCATGTTTTGATATTTTAAAGATATTTATAAGTGAATCAAGGGAAAGACTGCCCCCTATAAAGGAGGATGGTGGGTTATAGAGGGATGGAAATATGTTCTTAGTTATTCTGTCCATCATCCCCCAGTTTGACTCTGTTGGGATCCCCACAAAGCAAGAGGCTTTAACTCCACACCGTCCAGGTGAGACACTGAGACCAAAATGAGTCATCCTGTCACAGGAAAACAGTGATAATTAGAAGTCTCTTCTAATCCCAGAGTGAACATTTAGTTGGCTTTTACTTTCAGTACAACTTTCACTGGCAAACTGTCTTTTACACACAGAATTCTRCGTTGTCATTAGCCTGAATCCTCATATGGGACCTGTTTAGTTATTGAAASACATTCCCATACTATTAAAATTCTGAGCTGAATGTTTCTTATGACCTTCTTTTACTTCTTTGAAATGTGAACACTCATAAAAACTTAAATCTCACTCAACAACACATACCCTTTTTCAAGAAGAAACTTGACAACATCTATGTTTCCACTGGCACACGCTGTCATTAGTGGTGTTTTGTAATAATTATCCTTCATATCCACAGGTATTCCTGCTTCAAAAGCCTTTTTCAGAGATGCCAGGTCCCCGGCCTTGGTGACAAAATTAATATTTGAAAATACTTTCCCTGGATCATCAATGTACCAAGAAGAATCATCCTGAATGGGATGYTCGGGTGGGTGATCTTGATTAAACCGGCTGCAATCAGTTACATTCTGGTAGGTTTCAATCATGTAATATGGAGGCCCACCATCTGGCCTGAATGGAAATACACTCTCAGGAATGACGCAGATTGGGAGGGGTAAAACAAATTTGCCTTTCCGACCCTTTTTGCCCATTCCTCTTTTCTTTTTCTTTGGCCCATAAGATCCCAAGACAAAAGACTTGCTTAAGTATCTGGTTCCTTTAAAGAAATCATTTATGTTGACTCCACCATCCCTGGTCTTTTCATGAAGTTGAGCTATGATGGCCAGCTGTTCAGAGGTTGCATACTCTTGCTTATCCTCCAGGATCAGCACAAAGTCTTCCTTGGACACTGTCCCGTTTCCTCTGTCTAAAAAGGAAAAGCCTTCCCGAAGGAGGGCCTCGTGTTCTATGGACCAATCATGTAATCTGAGGGCCCACATTGGATTGGGGTTTTTGACTCCAGGTTTTTCCAGTTTTTTAGCAATTCGCTCAGCTCGTCGTATTTCTTTGCTTGCTGCTTTGAAGCCTCCTTCTCTGGCCACAGCCCTTGGAGTTTTGTGATCTAAATTCTTCCATTTCAGTTCACATCCTAAAACACAAAACATAATTAGGTATGGGTGCCAAGGCATCTGCATGGTCCTACAACTGACGGTCATCCAACTGTTTTCTCAATTTGGGGTTATTAGTCAAAAGTTCATCCTAAAATTATATATACACAGAGAAAAGGGCAGCTAGCTATTGTAATTATGAAATTAAGCCATATTTTTTCCCTGTGGCTTTCACTTTTATGAATTCTGACAGAGATGAGTTTGCAATTTTATATCTGCTTACAAAGGAGAGATTTTATCTCTAGAGATAGAAATGTTAGAAAAAATATAGTCGAAATAAATATTAAATGGGATGCTTGCTGTGGAGATTTTATATCAATGGGAAAAGAGCAAGAGTACGTTGGAATTTGGAGAGAAGTGTCTAGATTCGRCTTGCAATGTTGAAAGACACTTGTTTCTTTTTGATTGACTTCAAAAAGAAACCACTCACACAATCTTAATATTTGACTGGTATTCTTCATTAAATTAAGGTAATTTATACTAGTTCACTATTTTGTCTTGAGGTCATATACAGCCTTTACAGAGGAAAACTAATTTGTTAATCAAATCTGAGAATTCCAAATTTATATTTGTGTGCAACTTAGACATCAAAATGCTCTTTTCATTTTGGTTCCTTACTTAAAATTATGAGACCAACATTATTTGCAAATATTCCCCCCAAAAGATGAAACTTTTCTGAGTGCATTAGGGAATCTATTTAACAGCACACCAAGGAGGTGGTGTTCTCTCTAATGTGTCTTGAGACATTGAAATTTCTTCATGTGTATAAATAACTCAGACCACAAAGATGCTCTTTCCAGTGTTTCCAATCTAGAAGGCGGCTAAGCTGCTGTTTTGCCAATATCACATAATCAGAAAGGATTGTCTGTCATCCAATCAGATACCAATCAAAATGACAAGTAGCTGCATGCAAACAAGACCCTCCAATACTTTGTGGTTTTAATTCCTTGTCAAAAAGATGCTTACATAAGAAGGGTACTGTAGGGTTCATGATATTTACTTTTGTGTGTTTGAGAGAAGAAAAAAGACATCTGGAAACCCAAAGATAATAAAAAAGGAGGTTGCTCAATAAAAAATAAAAAAATAAAAGATTGGCAATATTTTTCAAGATTAATACTTTTGTATTGTGAAACATTACATATTTATAATGCTAATGATTTTACTAGTGATAGAAAAACTCAGAAAGGTTATTTGGTCAATAAAGATTCTAAAATTTCTGTATTTGACAGTTGTATTTTTGTTGTTGCTTACTTATCTGTGTGTGTGTGTGTGTGTGTGTGTGTGTGTGTGTGTGTGTGTTTCAATACTGGGGATTGAACCCAGGACTTCTCTACCACTGAGCTACTTCCCCAGCCCTTTTTATTTTTGAGACAGGGTCTTGCTAAGGTGCTGAGGCTGGCTTCAAACTTACAATCCTCCTGCCTTAGTCTCATTTGTCACTAGGATTACTGATGTGTGCCACCATGCCTGGCTATATTGGACAGTTGTAAGAACAATGATTTATTGAGAAAGAGGTCCTGAGAATGTGGTCTCAATAGTAGAAGTCCATAGCATAATAATTCCATAGTAATGCAAGTCTACTCCTTTTCCTAAGCTATTTTGCTCATTCAGGGAATCTGGGCTTTTTTTTTTTTTTTTTTTTTTTTTTTGATTGTTGCTTTTCCTATACTTCTCAAGCCACCTCAACAAGAAGGGTCAAAGAGTTTCAGACCAGCTTTAGCTTGCCCTCTTTTGCCAGTGTCCTTCTATTAGGAACCTTAACATGGATAAAAGACTCCAATGTATCAAGGAAGACATTTTAATGTGAGAAAAGAATCCATGATTTATGAGTGCTTTACATTTTAGTACTAAATAAAGGCTCATTTACTCAGAAATGAGCATTTCATTGCTAATGGTTTCTCGCTGTTCTGATTGTCTTAGATAGGATTCTAAAGATGGAAATGTCGCTTCTGCTATGGAACTGGGTCACCAGTATAGGATCTAGTGACATGTTTGTATTTTCAAACACTCTACAGAACTCTGTTTTCAGATATTTACTTTAGAAATACAGCTTTAGGATCCCTCCAGAAAGACAGATATTTTCTGAATCAGCGGCAAAACTTTTTCCCATGACCGAAGCACTACCCTTTGCTCTTGATGTGCTTTCTGAAACTTTAGCCCAGGTACATGAAAATAACAGAGCTCATGTGTGGTGATATTTGTCCCAGTAAGAAATAAGGCCACAAGTGAAAGTTTAAGAAGTGTGCCTCAACTCAGTAGGACAATTATCTTTAGAAATACACAGTGTTAAAAAATGAGATGTCAGAATAAACTGCTGATAGTGACTGATTTGAAGCTRAGACCAGTAAAATAGTTTGAGAGGATAAAAATTACATTTAATTTAGCTTTTTTCCCTTATTTTTAAAAAGAATTACTATTTGAAGAAGGGAATATGAACTTATAAAAATTAAAAATGGATCAATTATACACTATTAGTTATGTGGGCATGTTAGTTTAACTTGTATTAATGTTTAAACTGTAGAATATTTAGGTCCTAGTGGAAATACTTCTTCTGCTTATTAGAAAGTTGTTGGACTATATTTACATTTTTGTCTATTTCTCATAAATTGGAAAAAACCATAAATCCAGCAAAATGCAATTCTATCTCTATTAAAGAATTAAACTTTTGATGTACATTCAATGAAAAGGTAAATAACAATAAATATATCTAATCTTGAAACTCAACTTGCTAATTTTTTTACTTTATGGAGCTCATTATGCTGTACTATACATAATACAGCTTATATTTCTAAATTTATAGTTGCTTAAAAGCTACAGGAAAATAAAAAATACTGATTACATTTCACATGTTCCAAAAATTTTTCCTTTTATTTTATGTACTTCCCAATATTTTCTCAGAAACATTCAAAGAGGTTAACTTTACATGGACATATCAGACTATTTTTAAACTAAAAATTCAGACTAAAATAAATTATTTTCAATGTTTTTTCTTTAAATTGATGTTGGCACTTCTAAAGTGAGGAGTTTAATCAATTATAAACATTTTAATATTTAGTTAACTCATGAAAAATCCCCTTTAGGTTTTTAACAGTAACATAAAACTTTGGGGAAAATGGATTTTGTACTTTTAAGACAACCCACCATGGTTCAATAGAATATCTTATATAAAAACACAATTTCAATTTTCTTTCTACATGAGTAAGGTGCTGAGGCTGATTATTGAAAAAGATAAGCAACTAACAAGTGAAATGTGTAAACCAAATAATTTAAACACAAAATTGCTAGACAATTTTACCTCGTTGAGCGATATATTTACAGCAATCTGCAAAACCACCCATGGCAGCATAGTGAAGTGGCGTGTTCCCATTCATTGCAATCAACCCCATATTTCCATTGTAGGCAAAAAGAAGCTTCAATATCTGCAAAATAAACAGTGGAGATTGTGAAGAATAGGAACACACATTTGCTGAAGGAAGACTGGCACCTGGGCCAGCACTACCCAGTATACTATCTATTAGTTACATGTGGCTATTGAAAATTCAAATGGAAATGAATTAAATGTTTTAAAAATTAAAAGTTTCATTTCTAGCCACACTTTCTTGGCCACATTTAAAATGCTAAAAAGCCACAGGGGGTTACTATATTATATAGATCAGATATAGTACATATCTATCATTGTCAAAAATTTTATCAAACAGCAGTGATTCAGGATATAGAAAAATCTATACTCAGCTGGGGCATTATCATTTGGTAATTGTAAGCAACTTAAGAAAACCTCATAAAAAGTAAAAGTAACTGTGCCAAAACTCAAATTCATTAAAGACATTTTAAGTGAAATTCAGAATTTAAAAAAGTAGGGTAGAGCCTTAGTTATCATTTTGTTTCTGCAAGGTCACTGTATCCATGACACATCCTTTGCCAAAATGTCAGAGTATTCTGAGTTTAAAAAATCAGGCATATCATTAGATGTGCATATACAGTAGGAAGACAAGGGAATGACAGCATTATTTTCCCCACAAAATAGTAGATCAAACCATACTTTGAAGATTCTAAAACATAAGGGAGGCACAATATAGGGTAGTCCCGGTGGCAGAAATTTTAATTGTCAAATACACAGACAAAATTTTATTGGTAATATTCAGTGAATAAATCAGAAAGTAGATAAACCTGAATAAAGAGCTACAATATGTTGTTAAAGTTTAAATTTTTATGTTTAGGGAAATCAAGATGTGAAAACAACACAGGTAACTGAAAAAAAATACTCCCCGAGTGTAACCTATATGATACATGAAATAATTTGAGAAAAAGAAAATTATAGCAACCAATTTTAAAGCCAAGAGTGGATTATTACATCAAAAAAGCCTCCTTTGGCAGCAAAATGAGCAGCATCATGTCTGTCATTGTCAAATACATTCACTTCGGCTCCTCTTTCCAGCATTCCCCGAACTAGTTCCAGCACCCCYTCTCTTGATGATTCCATTAAAGCCGTACGACCTGTGGACTGAGTATGAAACAGATCCAGTGTTGTTTAAATGTTGTTTATACCCATTACGTCCTGTTCAATAATGAATTTGGTATAAATTGACTCCATTATGACATTAGCTTTACCCTTGATAAATTTTTATTCTCTACATCTTCATATAAAGAAAAAAAAAACATTAGGGAAGTACATACAATGGATCAATGTCCGAAACACAGAACTTTTAACATCAGAGTTAGGCTCACACCTTGTGACAACACCTTGCTAAGAAGATGTCCTTCTTGAAGAGAAAACAAAGTAAAAATGGGGGGGGGAATAAGTGGTGTCATATAGGCTAAAATTAGGTCATTGGTGTTTTCTAGTAAGAAGAAAATATATTTTGTGTTGTGTGATTCTGGAAGTGACCATTAAAAGAAAACTCAATAAAATTAGACAATTCAAGTGTAAAAACAAATGTACATGAGAAATAGCAGAAATATATATATTTTATTTCCAAAAAGGGATAAATTTTGATTAGGCATCAGTGATATCTCTTCTACTATTTCCTACAATGATATTTTGTCATTATGCACAATAAGTACCAATTTTCAAAACATAATTAGGAAGTATACTGTGGAATTACAACAATATCATGAAAGTATAACATTTTCAAGCATTTGAGTAGAAACAAAAAATCTCTAAGCTGACAGGATAATTTTACCATATTTAAATGCAAAATTTATACGAATATGACACTGTAATAGAATAAAGAAATATTTATAATCACAGGGATAGTCATACTGAGTTGATAGAATTGGGATTGGCTCCTTTTTCCAAAAATGTCAGGCACAAGTCTTTAATATCATGTGCTTCTTCACAAGCTCTAAGGAATACTGGTTTTCCTTCATAGTTAATATTGTTGACATCTGCACCATGTTCGAGGGCAATCAGAGCACAACGATAATGCCGCTTCGTAGGTAAAATGCAGTAAAACAAAACACCTGCAGAAAAATAGAATCCCAAAGAGCATTTAGTTAACAGTCTACACATATTTGAATATGATAGGAAAGAAAAAAAAGGATAATTTGAAAATCCATATTTAACTAAAGATGGTAGAGCACAGGCATGTCTGCCTTGGTTTTCCTTCTGAAACCAACTAAAAATACCGAAACAGGAAAATAAAAACTGAGAAACTTGATCTGTGATCAATTTTGAAAATAGTAATTAACTAAATGTTATAGGATCTGATTTCAGGATAAATTGGAGCACTCATATGTGAGCCTTTGTCAAGATTTGGCATCTTTCAGTTCATACCTAAGTGTTCCTTGTTAGAATTTGCAGAGATGTGTGGTGAATGGCTGGGTTCCCTCTGCACAGGTTTGCAAGGAGCAGGCTTTCAGTATAATAGCAGTGAAATGAAAAACTAGATGGGGCAAACAGCTCTGCCACTTTGGCAAACAATTTTATTCCAAGGAAGAGAGGAAAATGCTAACTCTTCATACCCAGGACATATAACATATACAACATCAACATAATCCATGTAGAAAATGTACTATATATAACAGTGRCATTGTTATACCCTGGGGCAGATTGTTGGTAAGGAAGTCCTGGTCATCCAACAAATTCTAAATTGACTTTGCAATGAGCTCTCTCCAAAAAGATGCTTCATTCAAAGAGGCACAATGACCAAAAAGAAAATAGCATGTGACCTATGAAAAAGATTCTGCAAAGAAGGTAAAGAACTTGATAATGAAAGCCAGGTAAGATAAGTAACGTGGTAATGAAAGCCAGGTAAGGTAAGGAACTTGGTAATGAAATCCAGGTAACAAGTGAATACTAGAAAAACCATACCAGTGAAAGTTATTGACTGACCCGTTTCCTATATCAGCAAWGAAATTAAATACAACTTGTTCTAAAATAGAAGTGCAAAGATAGACCAAGACCAAAAAACAAGGACTGAAGAACATAGAAGATGAACAGAAGAAAAACAGGTGAAATGGAGCCAGCAGAACTTAGAGAAGCAATGATAAAGAAAAATAAAACCACTGGAAGAAATGAATGTCAAATTAGAAGCAGTAAAAAAAAAAAAAGTGCAGATGCTGCCAAAACCATGGGCAGGGGCAGGAAAAACAACAACAAMAAAAAAATGTAATTGAGAGGATGGAAGAGTTCAGAGGCAAAGAAGTTTCAACAGGTCTGTAATTTGTTTTCAATTATATAGAATAGAATAAAATTTCCTTGAACTGAAAAACCTGAATCTGAAGATTGAAAGGGAACCTGTGCCTTAAGAAAAGTTGATTAAGAATAATCAACAAGATATATCAAGGGTAAAGTGTAGTTAAGGTCTAGAACATAGCTCACRTCCTCCCCAAAATAGCCATTTAAATGTTTGCTTATCCTTTATAAACAATGTACAGTGAGTCACACAGCAGTCAATGAGAAAGACTATGTTAATGGCAGAGAGATTACTATGGAATTAGCAAGGCAGTTTGGCAAGTGGGGGCCCAGCTAAGGATGCTACAAAGGTGAGCTAGGCTCAAGGATGGAGGATGAAACCCGGAGTCATGGGCAAACCATGGGTTATACCTAATCAACTAATAAGATTCCGTGGGAAATGAGATTTCACATTTGTTTCAAGTTTTATTTTATGCTTTCATTTTCTTCCCATATGATTTTCTGATTGTTTTTTCATAAATGAATTTCCCAGAACCTTGACTGGTTTAACATTTAAACAAGCATATATATTAACCATATGGCTATACTATTTGTTATGAATATTTAGTTGACTTTTTGTTTCTGATTTTACCTTGATTTTTAAAAAAATTTACAATTTTAGATCTTTATGCTATAAAATTTCTCAGTTTGATTTGTATATGACTTACATTTTCCTTCAAACTTAAGAAAGTGAAATTTTTCCATTACATTGAAAAATTTTTCATTATATTGAGTGTTCCTCAACATTTATTACACAAAGTCCAAAATATATTTAATGACATTTGGAAAAACTAATTCATGGTTAAATAAATATGGAAAATGTTAGCATCTTTGGTCTAATAGTGTGAAAGATACATATCCAAATTTGTTTTATTCATTGGTTCTCTAATAAATTCAATGGTGGAACCAATTTTACATGAAAAACTCTTAATATCCCAGTGATTCAATGGTCCATGAAACACACTTAAATGATATACTCTAAAGCTTTAAGAGATTTCTGCTTTTCCAGGATTCAACATTTTAAACCACATTTAACTTTTAAATGATCTTAAGTAAATTTTGTTATGTGATTCTCTTAAATTTAATTTTTCTTCTCCTTTGTTCTCTCTTCTTATTTTAAGCAAGCTATYTCTCAAATAGCAAGCCTGAGAAGAGTTACAAAAATAGATTTTGCTTCTATCAGAAAACACTAACATTATAAAGTGGGATTCATTTTTCCGGTGTAAAGCTGACATGTTAATGGGTTTGCACTTAGAGCAATTCCCCCTTGAAAACTGATTCAATCTACCAATTCACATTAAGTCCAGTGGGAAGTAACTTGGTGATTTTCATGACTTGACTGAACCTGAAGTTGTTTAGGCAAGAAGCCGCAGACCATGGTTTTGAGATGAAATTAGAGGAGGTCATAGGACGTGGAAATACAGCCCTTTCACCTGAATAATCCTTGAGACACCATTTCTAAGGGCTTGAGTTCCATTTCCAAGTACATTAAAAATTTTACCCTAGAAAGTTGGGAGTTTATACCAGAATCCACCCTGGTCCTCTCAAGTTTCTGGGTACAAGTCTTTTCTACATCAGACAACAATTGAGATGTGACAGAATCCTTTTGGGGTCCTAGGTCTAGTACTAGTCAAGGTTTGAAAATGTAAAGAATAAGAAATCATCTCCATCATCTTTTGTCTTACATAAGAATTTATATATGAATAATTATGTTTACAGTAATACAGTATGGATAATGTTGATAATTTTCCTCATTTAAAAAAACCCCACCAAACATAGATTAATTTAATACTAACTTCCTTTTTCAATAAAGCCAGAACTGGGATTTCCTAAGATATACTTAAACTGTGATAAAATTATGAGGATGCAAGATCTTTAGGTACAGGAATAACAACCTAAACTTTCACTTAAAACCATGAGTAATTTCACCTCTAAAATTGGAAAACAAAAAGGCCTATCTTTTATTGATGTCTATCTATAAATTGAACTTTATTCTGCTGGATAAAATGTGAGGACTGTTACCTTTTCCTTCATTATCAACTATAGTCATATCAGCCTTTGCCTTGGCTAGTATTTCCATTGACAGTTCATGGCCCAGTTCTGCAGCCTTCATTGTTGGAGTAGAGCCATTTCGGTCTTGCACATCAGGGTGAGCCCCAAGTTCAAGGAGAAAGCTGACCATATCAATGTCATTGGAAACTGAGGCTAAGTGCAGTGCACTGAGTCCATCAACAGGTTCTGTGAAATTGATCAGTTGAGGGTATCCAAGTTTGGTCAGCTTTTCTATCTGTTTCTTGTCTTTGTTCCGAACACACTGAAGAACTTTGTAGATCTGCAAGTTCTCAAGTCTCTTATCTGCTAAAGACATGCTTCACCAGCCTCTCTAAAAATGCTTCCTGTACTAAAATAATAACTACAGCAGTTAAAAAAAGAAATAAAGAAAGAAAAGAAAGAATTCCAGATTAATTGTATCATCTTTACTTTTATTAAGTTCAATATATTCAGCATATGTTCCTAAGAAGACAGGCTATTTCTTATGAAGAGTTATTATAATTTATTGTAACTGATTTCAGAAAGTAGGGATTATATATGAATTTAAAAAATATTCATGTGACATAAAGTTCGAATATTTTTTATAAAACTTATTCTTCCATCACATAATTTATTATTAGTTTGCTAGGTAACTCTTTTGGTACTCCTTTTAACCTTCTCTCCTCACCACAGTTTTACCATTTTATCCAAGATGTTGGAGGTAGAGTTGATGGGTAAACTCTTGAAGGTGAGGTTAACACAATTGCCAAAAATAAGAACTTGAGCTCCTGTCTGTGTGGCTCCATACCAGCATGTCTCCCACCATGTAGACATCAGACAAGTTTAGTGGTTTAAAAATGTTATAAAGAATGTATTGGATTTTGAGGTGCTCATTACAAATAGGAATCTATTGGGCTCTGCAAGATACCAAAGTTGTGAGAATGATTTTTGTGTCACCTTATTTGGGAATGAGGCAGTTCAAATGGTTGATGTAACTATGAACTTTCATAAAGAACCACACTATTAAATCATGATGGGCATATGTAGTTTTATCTCCTTTTATTGTTTATGGAAAAAAAATGTTGTTTTGGATTGAGTGGTATGGCCAGCTTGCTTTTCTTCCTGCATTTTTTTTTTTCTGGGACAAGAACCCCATTGTCATAAGGGGAGTCCATTTTCGGTAGTTTGAATGGGATTGTTCTTTCTGTTCTTTGGCATAGGAATGGGTCTGTGACCTTGGCATGGCCCATTTGAATAAACCAATCCTCTACAGATGCACTAAATTGCTGAAACATGCTCATAACCAACAGTGGCCAATCAATGTCTTATGGCATCCTCTGTGAGAACCACATGAAAAGACTATTTCTGCTGAAGTTATTGAACAACAGAATGTGGGGCTGGGGCTTCAGGAACTATCCTTCCTATCACAGAATAAGCACATATTTGAAAGATGAAGAGAAGCAAAGATGGATGAAATGAGTTTTAGCTTGGGTTCTATTATACCAGTTTATGTTCAGAATCTGTTTATAACATATGGAGGAGGTCTAAGAACCAGAGAATGTCACTTGTTAGATTCATTATATGAATAGGGTCTGAATAAAGCCATAAGCTGTTTCAGAGTCATCTACTTGACTTTTGCTGTGTGGCTTGGTGACACTTATTTTAGCTACTATTTTAGGGCATGTTTTATGATTAGTAGCCATATTATGGTCAGGTGCAGTATCATACTGCATACATTCATATAACATATTCAGACTAAAGTAGGTTGCTCCTCAATAGCTTATTGATTGTATCAGTACAATGCCACTTCATTTGAGAGGACAGAAACTTCCTAATCAGATACTTCAATGTTGTCTCTGATACCATTCATCTCAAAGAATCAGCAGCATGTAACATTTTCCAATCATGGGTCAGTTTAGTATAAAATTCATCTCTCTCAGCGAATGCCCCACTGGGGAGAGGGTAGCACTCGGTACCCTTATCCTTTACAATCAAGACTGACCAAAATCTCCACCCCTGGAGGCAATAACAAAAGTCCTGCCCTCTAACCCTAGGTACCTTGTAAGTGGCATAGCATATACTATCCCAAAGAGAGTAATCACACTAGCACACTTTTACTTTTCCTCAGCAAGGCCTGAGTCATCTTGGCTAATCAGTAGTATCGACAACCTCAAAAGAAAATGGAATAGAGTAGAATGTCTTCACTTGGGAAGGAGGTGTACATTTGGGCTCTGAATACCTTGAAATTATATGAAAATTTATGAATATGTGTGTGTGTGTGTGTCCAAGTGCTTCTTGCCTTGATAGGAGACACACAGCTCATTAAATTCTCAAATGGGTATATGAAATAGGGAGGTTCATTAGAAAGAGATAAGGTTGGCACAGTGTAAAGAGTCTAGGATTTGAGGGGGGAAATCCTCTGTGATCCTCCCTCTCCTGCATCATTATTTACACCAACCTACCTAGTTTGTCCCTCAGTTTCTCCATCTGTGAACTAGGGATAATAATAGGACTCACTTCATCGGGCTGGATAGGAAAAGAATGAGATAATCCTTACAAAGTATTTAGCAAAGTCTCACGGTACAGGCTCTCTGTGAATAAAGTAAACTTTCATGGGCTTCAGCTCATCAGTAAGCTTGGTTTATAGGGGGGTTGGTTCTCAACTGAGCCTTTCAGTTTTAAGTCTCAGAAAAATCTGGAAGAGAGAGGAGTAGATAGAGATGTAATTTTGAGGAAAGTCTAGGTAGCAAGTTCAAGGTACCCATCTCACCTATTAGTCCCCCGGACGATCAGGAGCCCCGTGTCTCCGGGCACCAATGCTCCTGGGCCCGCGAGGCCTTTCTGGGGCTGCCCGGGCTCTCTTTCTCTGTGCTCTGGCTGACTCCCAGCCGACGTTGGGCTCTGGAAGCCTGGCTTTCGCGCCCAGAATCAAAAGGTGACCCTTTAGGCAGAGCGGGGGAGCTGGCGCGCGTCCAACAGGGAAGGGTGTAAGTGTCCATGGGCCCCGGGCCGCAGAGGGCAAGTGCTCAGCCAGGTGAGCTCAGGGGGCGGGGTGGGAGCCTCAGAGACTGCGGCCAATTGTGAGCTTGGGCCACGCAGGGCCGGTTGCTAGGGCAACCGCCCAGGTGCGTTGAGAGGCGGGGCTCTCCTCCGCCCCGCCCACTGCCCGCCCCCATTGTGGCTGCTTCCAGGAAAATGAATGGGAGGGAGGCGAGATATTATGAGGTCTCCAGGATTCTGTCCTTCTTTCGTTCTCTTTTCTGCCTCTGGCGCTCAAGCAGAATATGATTTAATTAGAAGAGTAAAGCTGCATATGGTAATAATAATAATGATGGTGATAAAACATCCAACGAGTTTAGAAAGTAGGATTAAATGAAAAATTCAATAAATTATACAATAAAATGAAAAGTGAATTTATTCTCAGATGTTGTAGATTCTTGTAAATCTTCCCAGAGATGTTCTTTCCACACTCTGGGAGATATACATGTTTTAAAGATATTTCTGCACACGTGGGAGCAAATATATCATGGAGATGATTTTTTTCAAAGCCTACAAATGCACCATAACACCTCTCCCTTTCCCTGGAACACTTTTTCAGAGGCAAATAATGAAAGTTTTTGTTTATGTGAATGAAAAACATGGATTTTCAATAGCAGTATAAGAGCTTCTAAAGACCTCTCTCTCTCTCTCTCTCTCTCTCTCTCTCTCTCTCTTTCTCTCTCTCTCACACACACACACACACACACACACACACACACACACACACACACGCATTTTATAGAAAGTACAAAAATCAAAGCATTCCATGACTAATGAAAAAGAAGGCTGTGTAAAAAAGAGTAACAAAAAGAAAAAAAAAACGGGGAGCAAAAAGTAAGCTGAGAGAGAGGAAAGTAGGGAGGGATTGGGGGAAATGGGGGGAAAGGAAAAAAAGAGAAGTCTACCTCTACTGCCAAATCCCTGTATATTTCTTCCCAATACTGATCCTACCCCTCCTGTCTGCAGAGATAATATCTATTCTGGATTTTGTATTTGAAATATCCATATCCAAGGGCTTTAGAAATATATTGTTTCATATGAATTCTGACCTAAATAATGTCTATTCAGTATTGTGTGTTTTGAGAATTTATACAGATGGGGTAGAATGGTACATATTGCTTTGATGACCTTTTTCCTTTCACCATCTTATTTGTGAAATTCATCTTTGTGGATATGTTTAACTGTGGTTCCTTTATCTTAACAGATGTATGAGCATTCCATACCCCTTCAAAGTTAGTTCTACTTATTGATGGACATTTGGGATGTCCTCAGCATTTGCTATAAAAAGCAATGAAAATGCTGCTAGGATCATGCTTGGACATTGTGTTTAGAAGAGCAAGTTCAAGAGTTCCTCTGAGATATAGAATAAAAAGTGAAATTTTTGAGTCCTAAGTTATGTGTAACAAGATAATGACAACTTGTTTTCCCAGTATGTGTAAGAATTTATGTAATTTCAGCAGTGTGTGTGTCTTATCTAAAACTTGATGTGTGAACAAATCAAAAGTTTGATGTGTGAACAAATCAAACTTCTTGTCAATATAATGGTTGTAAATGGTTTTTCATGATTTGACTTTGTGCATTGACTTTGAATGATCAAATTTTTTCTAAAAAAATTCTTATTCTAAATCCTTGGAGATATATGAGTAGAAGTTTATTGTCAAGCTACACTATTCACCCTTCAGTACTTACTGTATAACTCTTAAATTATTTTAACAGATTCTAAGCATCATTTTTAGAATAGCTGCTTCTCAGGGTAGGCAAAGCCTCACAATTCAGTTAGTTTGTTGACCTAGTAGGGTTTGGAAATGTCATTTATCAGCCTAATTCATAGAGTGTATTAAACTCTTGTAATAAGTGTATTTTTATCAATTTCTGCTTCTATTTCTGGTAATTTTTACTTTATTTATTTAGCTGCCATCCTGACTTTTGCTTTTTATTGTCACATATGTCTTCCTTTTTCTTGGGTAGAATGTCTGGTTATAAATTTGGGTGTCTTGTCAGACTACACTACATTTGGGGGTCTAGTCAGCAACATTACCCAATGTGCATATAAGCTTGGGGGATTTATTTATTTTAGTGTTTGCCCATTTGTGTATTGACTTTTTCTCCCCACATTTTAATTAGTGGGTAACAATTGTGCATAATGGTTGAATCTTGACATATTCATACACACATACAATATTAACAGTGGAATTTGACCAGTAAGGTTCCTCAGTAAAACCTGAGGATATTAAATAACATTTTGAGGTTTCAGAAAATAATAACAATATTGTGGTGTTTTAAAAGTTTTACGTATCCTTTGACTCTCCCTTCAAAATACTATAGCTTGATTCCTCTTCCCTTTGATATATGCTGGATTTATTCTCTTGATTCTAATGAATAGAATAAAATGGAAGTGACAGTGTGTGGCAAATGAGATGAGGTCATAAAAAACATGGTGGCTTCTCCATCTCTCTCTCTCTTGGAATGCTTGCTGTGAGGGAAGCCAGCTGCCATGTTATAAGGACTCTCAGTAGTCCTATAGGGAGGTTCATGTGGTCAGGACCTGAGGCCCCCTGCCAACAGCCATGTGTGTGGCTATTTAGGAAGCCAGTCCTTTAGCTCCAATCAAGCCATCAGATACCAGAAGCTCTGGCTGACAGCCTCAAGAGAAAACCAGAACCAGAGCCACAGCTTCCAGATTCTTGACTTACAGAAATCAATAAATAATATTTCATTGTTTTTAGCCTCTAATTTTGGGGGATAAAGTTATAGAGCAAAAGATTCACTTCCCAAGATTATGATGAGGGATTAATGATGGGGCATATAAAAACTTCACTATTATTTTCATCTGATCTAATAATTTACCTACATCAAAAGCTTCTTTGGTTATCACTTTTTATCCTTTATTGAGACAAGGTCTTCCTTTTTTCTAGTCTAGCCTTAAACTCCTGGCTGAGGTGATCCTTCTGATTTAGCCTCTGCAGCAGCTGGGACTACAGATATATGCCACCATGTTGGGCTCCACTTCCTTCTTTTCATCCCCAGACCTTTGCTTTTCTGTCTGGATCATTTGTTTTATGTTAGAGTTTTGTCTCCAAAATTTACTATGGACTACAGGAAAGCTAGATTCTCTGATTCCTTGCAAATCTGMAAATATCTTTATTTCACCCTGACAAGTAAATCTATCTCAGTTGTATACTGAATTATGGGGTTTCTTTCTCTTTCTCAGCACCCAGTAAGTCTTTTCCATTACTGTCTAGCTCCTTCCATTTTGTTTTAGTGGAGATGTTGCCAGATTCACRCAAGGAGAGACAGGGCATTGGGCTGTTCAACAGGAAGTATTTTGTACTGGCCCTGACTGGGTGGATTCTCATCCAAAATCCTGAAGGCAGTAGAGCTGCACCTTATGTAGCCCCTCTTTCCCCTCCACCCCCATTACATATTTGCCCTTTTGTTTCTCCTATATGGAAAAATACATTTCACATGGGTATTCTATACTGTAAAATAATAAGGAAGTTCCAAAAAACTGCACAGGTACAGGTGGCATAGTGGGGTATTCCAGCAGGGTTTCACACACATCCTGAGTGTCAGTGAAGTTTTGCATGTGCAGTGAGTATCCGAGAAACACTGTGCATATGTGATTACTAAAAGTGCAACATTGTCTGACAGTCACACATGCAAGCACAGATCCTAGCCATGCTGCATAGTCTTGTCTTTGTTTGAAGAGGGCTCCTACAACAGATAATTATTCTCCTCCTTTCTAGCACATGATAAGTCCATCACCAGATGTTTGTTCTTTTTTTTTCCTTTTTTTTTTTTTTTTGGTACCAAGAATTGAACCCAGGGGTCCTTAAACACTGACCCACATCCCAAGACCCTTTTGTTTTTTATTTTGAGATAGGGTCTTGCTAAGTTACTTAGTGCCTCATTAAGTTGAGTCTGATTTTGAACTTGAAATCCTCCTGCCTCAGCTTCCTGAGTTGTTGGGATTAAAGGCATGTGCCACCATGTCTGGCTATTTTTTTCCTTTCTTCTTTGTGTGTATGTTGTTATTTATTCCTTACAGTTTCTAAAATTTCTCCTTCWTTCTTTTAATTTTGAAATGTAACCAAGATATGCTTAGGTTGATATCTCATCAATTCTGCCTGGAGGCCTGGAATCTGTTGTCAATATACAGATGGGTTTTCAGCTCATAATAGTTGTCATTTTATCTTTTGCTTAATTTCTAATTTTAATTTGTTTCTCTTGGCATAGAAGCCCAGAAGCTGATAAGTCTGTCATTTAACATTTTCTAGTGTATAGGAATAACTTTGGGATATTGGTTAAAATGCATATTGTATTCCAAGTACCAGAAAGCAAGCTCCTCTCAATAAAGATTTAGGTAGAACCCTAACAGAAAGGCACTCTGTTGCAACAAGATGAGTTAGTAATAAAATACATGAGCATAAAGTTGTTTATGATATTAGAGAGGTCACGTTTTTGCCTCTTTCAAGTTCATCCTCCA